CCATGCCCAGCTAATTTTTGTATTTTTAGTAGAGACAGGGTTTCACTATGTTGGCCAAGCTGGTCTCTAACTCCTGACCTCGCGATCCACCCTTCTCAGCCCCCAGAGTGCTGAGATTACAGGTGTGAGCCACCGCACCTGGCCTGAACACTATTATTATCTCAGTTTTCGTAGCAGGAAAACAAGGCCAGAAATGCCAGGATCACCGAGTGAGAAAATTAGGAAGCAGTGGTGACTGGATGTTAGCCCTGACATCTGACTCCAGAGACAGCTCTTAACCCTGTCCCCGGACAGCCTCCCCAGGCACAGAAGTGCAGAGATAGCCGGTCCTGGTGTTCAGTGCTGTCCCCAGGCTGGGTATCCCACTCTCGGAGGTGAGATGGGGGTGCTGTGACCTGCTTCTCAGGGCGAGAGGGTCAGGGAGGGGCCCGCCCAGGTGGTGCTCAGTGAGCATGCTTTCCCGTCTCAGAGGGACTGTGCTGCCCGCCGGTCTCCCTGGCCTGACACTGCGCATGTGTCTGTGACAGGTAGATAGAAAGCATTGCCGGCCGGGCGCTGTGGCTCACGACTGTAATCCCAGCATTGCAGGAGGCAGAGATGGGAGGATCACTTGAGCTCAGGAGTTCGAGACCAACCTGGGCGACATGGCGAGACCATTTTTTAAATTTTTAAAAAAAGCATTGTTGAGGGCATCTTCTCATCTGATCACTGGATATTAGAACCAGAGAGGCCTTTAGAGATCACCCGGTCCTGCTGCTTCCCACATGGGGAAACTGAGGCTCAGAGACGACAGGTGGCTGAGTCACAGACTGAGCCACGTGGCAGAGCTGGGACTAGAATGTGGGGTCCTGTTGACCTGTCCAGGATGGCCAAGCACTTCCCATGTGCTAGATGATGGATGGGCAGAGGAGGGCATAGGTGGGCAGGTACCCTGAGGCCTGCTCTGCCCTTCCTACGTGTGTGAGCTGGGGTCCCTCATGGCACCTGTCTGAGCCTCAGTTCCCTCATTCATGAGTGAGATTATAATCCACAACTCTTGGGGTTTGAGGGGGTTAGCATGGTCCTAGGGTGTAGTTAGTGGTTAATAAAGGAAAATTGGAAAATTGTCATTAGTATGATTTGTTGGGAGGAGCCTTTTTTTTTTTTTTTTTT